GGGAAAAGGAGACTGTCGCCGTATTCAGTGAATAGGTTTCAACACAGACTTTTGCAAAAGCTAACAGAGAAGTGTGAACTGCTATTTCATCCTGGAAGAAGTCATTTAAATTAGCAAATTCTCACTGATCTGAATAAACAAACACAAAAACCCTAACCTTTTGTATGTAAGACATACTACTTTAACTTACAGCAGTTGCCTAATTTGAGTGTGCATGCACCTCTGAGTGCACAAGCAATACACATTAATAACAATAACAACATATACTGCATTCTCAACTAACTAGATTTCAAGGGCAATTTCTATGCAACAAAGTAAAGGTTTTAACTTCTTTGGAAGAGGAATCAAAAGTGGTGACCAGAGCTAACCAGAGAAGATGCTTCTCTTTGTAAGAGAAGAGGAAGAGAAGGTTAACAGCTATGGAAATGTGCTCTTGGCTTTGAGTGCTATCGTTCTTCTTTAAGAAAGACAGAAGTGTTTTGTCCGGGGCAGCAACACTGAATGACAGCAATAAAATGCAGAAAGGGGTGTGTTCTGAGAATGACACATATGAGGTACTAACAAGTAAAATAACTAAACAGAAATTGAAGCTCTAATTTCATTTACGCTAAGGATTCATCTAAGACATTTCAACCAGCACAATTTAGCATGCTCATTTCTATAGAAAATTTTAAAAAATCTAACAGAGTCTGCCAATTGTTTCTTAAGTAGTCAGAAAACACTAGCCACAGGGGCTTAAAAATGTAGTGGCTTGGGGGCAGTAAAGGCATTGTCACAGCCACTGGGCAAACTGAACTCCTATGAAAGATAAACAGAGGGGTGAGCAGCTGAGCAGTGTAGAGGACAGCAAGCAAAGTCACAAATCTCCCTCTTGCTTGCCTTGTAAGGAAAGTGCTGTAAAAATGAATCGGTTCTTTCTGCCTGCCTTGGTTAGAGAAATCAAAGTTACAGGGCAGATGAGAAGGCACCTATGTGCTCTATTTTGTCATTTTGTCAAACTGCAACCTGATACCATGAGGTCAGTACAATATACAATACCTTTCACCTCTGGCCGATACTGCATTCCATCGTCTTTCTTTCCAACTGCATTTGTGTCATCTGTTTCTGGATGATAAATACATGCATGGACAGCTATCAGGAAAGGCTTATTTCCATACCACTACATATATGTTATTGAAAAGTTAGAGAAGCACTTCAAAGTATTTTAATTACAGCACAACTGGTCACATTACTCCTCCTGCACAAGCAGGTCTGTATGGGCTGTAACACCAGCATCTACAGCCTTCAGGGGCACATTTCAAGGTGTACATTCTGAACAGAATTTTCCCTTGGAATATGGCACTAGATCATTTTAGTAACAGTCTGTTTTGGTTTTGCAACAGTCAAGGTTGCAGCTTTTAGATGTAACCAGCAAAGAAATGCTGGAAAGATACTACTCCTAAATTCAGTTCACCTTGACTTGACTGAATTCAAGACCCCAAAACTAAACACCCATGTACAGAATTAACAATATATATGGGTGGAATCAAACTGTTTCAGTGGATCATTTTAAAGTTGGAAAAGGACTTGCACTAATACTTGCACTATTGAGCCCCATATTTACTTACATGGAGAGTATATTGTATGGCCTACATCAGCAATGGTGTATATTTTCCACATACTAGTATTCCTTTTTCTCTCCTACTTCTTACTACCCCCTCATATAAGACCTGGTGTGCTATTGCTTATATTCTCTTAAGACCTTTTGCTGTTTTTCCAGATAACAGTAGCCAGAAAATGCTCAAACAAACAGGCCACATCTGAATCATTCTGTCAAATTCAGGAACTGAAAAGCCTCCCTAAGTGAGAAAACAAAATATAGGCAGAGAATCCTAATTGGAAATGGAAAAGAAAAAGGCTCCACTGAGTCTTTTGTGCCAGAATCGTTTATAAAAAAAAAGTTTATATGTTTAGATATTTATAAAAAATAAAATAAAATTAAACCTACCTGAGCAGTGTCCAAGATGTCTTATGTCAATCTGTTCTTGTCTCAGACACGATGCTTCTCTAACAAAGCATGGATTGTTATAAGAACTTCCATCAGAAGCACACACAGGATTAAAACTGTATCCACTGCAATCTATATTACATACACACCTGTTAATTAAAGCACACAACAAAACAAGTTTGACATTCAAAAAAAAAATAAGGTCTCATATACTAATGCCATCATCCTTTACACTGGAAAAAAGCATTTTACATGTAGATACAGAAGAATTCATTGATATCTCAGATGTCCAGACAGAACTTACAGAACCATAGTATGTGCTTCAGTGTGCTTTTTAATAATTTACTGACATTTCTAACAGTTTTACTATGATATGAGTCTCTTTGATTAGCACCTGGAAATTATAACATATTACTAGGAAGGTGTATCACATTAATAAAACATTTATTGTGTTGTTTATTATCAAGTGTGAACAAAACCATATATTCTACTTTTCTAGGGGGTCAAGCTCTCAAGCTCTCTGAAAGTGAAAAAAAAGAAAAGGAACTCCCATTTCTGTTAAGTAGTACAAAGTCTTTTTTTTTTTCTAGAGGTTGAACAGAATCAATATGCTCAATCAACTGGGATATTTTAACTTTGAAAGTTGTATTTTCACTTTGAAAGTTAACCATAGGTCTATTTTATAGTATTGAAAACAGGATTGTGCAATCTGAATCATTTCATATTGCATAAAATTAACATTTCTGTCATTTCAGACACAATGTTTTCCATATTGTTTGTAATTAGGGACCAAAAAATGAAAGGGGGAGCAAAAGAAAAAAAAAAACAGCTCTCTCTTAGGGGGTTCCTAACAACCCAAAGGTAGGTCAGTCAGAGACTTAATTATGACAGATCACCATTTGATTAAATACTTTTGTTACTCCAGATATATATGCAAATAATACATGCAAATAACCATTTAAAAGGCCCACAGTAGAGCAGTTTTGCACACACATTGATACAAACTGCTGAGCACTATCATCACTGTACGACCATTTGCTTACTAGCACTGTTACTTCATCTTAGCACAATGCAAACATTGCTGCATGTGCATGCCCATGCTTGTCAATTTGAGCACATTTCTTTCTTTTTCCAGACAGTTTCCATGTCCAAGCAGCTCTATCTGTCATCATTCAAGGTCCACATATCGTAATTATTATTTTTGTAATTCCAGTGACTTTTGAAAATATTTCTTTCTTTCTTATGGTGTCAGTTGACAGTCCCTAGTCAAAATGACTTGAAAGACTTTGATTTTACATTGTCACCCTTTGTCATGATCACATGTAGTAAGTAACATCAAATATTTACTTGTTTAGCCAGTTGAAAATTTCTGACTATGTTACACAAGCTACCGTTTCCTTAACTCTAACCGTCTAGCTTATGTACAAAAAATTCTCTTTATTACTTAAAATTTTGCATACAAATGTAGGAAAAAAAAACAACATAAAATCTTGTGACATTCCTGTGATGACTAAAACAGTTTGAAGTAACTGAAGCACACAAATACAATGGTTTACAGTTGCTTTGTCTTGCTCCAGTAGAGCCGAACTGGTGTTTGTCACAGGTGAGAGAGAAATGACAGCCTGAATGTGCTGATGGTTACCAGCACACCAAGTCTCTTAACTCATTTGACAGATCCTGACTAGCTGGTAGACCTATGTATTTCTGTTCAGATTTCTGTAAGGGTTACAGGAACGCTAATCCCTGGTGAGGTCCTTGCTGTCAAGATAGACCTCAACCTGCTGACAGGCCACATGGTATAATAGTTGCCAGTATTATAATGCAGTACACTGACACAACACACTCCTGTTGGAGGATCCCCCTTAATAGAGAACCACAGAATGGCTGAGGTTGGAAGGGACCTTTTGAGCTCATCCAGCCTAACCCCTCCCGTTGAGGCAGAATCACCTAGAGCACACTGCTCAGCACCATGCCCCATCAGGTTTTGAATGTCTCTGAGAATAAAGACCACAGCCTCTCTTAACAAATTTGCTTCAGTGCTCAGTCAACCTCTGACAAACTCACCTGTAGAACTGCTTATGCTAACTTGTATGTAGGCCTGCTGGACTGTTTATGCTAACCTGCATGGAAGCTTATTAAGCTGTAACTTTTGTGAAATCTCATCCAAGTGTTTTCGACCTTGAAAAGAACCCTCTGGCCAAGTTCTGGCCCCACCAGACGTTACTGCTCACAAAGAAAATGCAAGTTATCATGATTTGCTGATTTGGCTCTATAACAGTTGGACCCTCTTGCTGTGACTCTGGAGACCTCACTTAGGGGTGGAGGCACCGCGTAAGACCTTCCAAGTGCCGGGAAGGTTCTCCAAATCCTCGCTCAAACAGGGACTCCCCAGCAATTGAGGATCTGGAGGATGGTAACATATTTAGGCAATTGGTGATGTATCTTTTTCTTAGTCACTATTCTCTTTCTTGTACAGTAATGGTTAGGCGCATTACCTTGCTTATTTTATCTGTTGCTAAAACCAAGCGTATAGTAAGGTTATTGTTTTGTTAAATGTATTGCCTTAATATTAATAGTGAAACAAGACCATTCTTTCCCTTGGTGCCTGGTTCTTTCCGTTGCCCACCTCCCATCCTGCCCCGTCAAATGGCAAAACAACCTCATAGTAAAAAAAAAAAATAATCATATGTTCAGACAGCATTTTCTGTGTTTCAGTTTGTGCCTGTTGTTTCTCATCTTATTACTAGCACCACTAAAAAGTCCCTTCACCTTTACACCCTCCTCCCTTCAGATATTAAAACGCATTGATAAGATCCATACTCAGTCTTTTCTTCTTCAGACTGAAGAGTCACAGCTCTCTTAGTCTCTCCTTGAGAGATGCTCACGGAATCACAGGATCTCAGAATAACAGACTTGTTGAGATTGGAAAGGACCTCTGCAGACCATCTAGTCTACTCCCCCTGCTCAAGCAAGGTTAGCTCAAGCATTTATTACATCCAGGCAGGTTTTGAATATCTACAAGGAAGGAGCCTCTACAACCTCTCTGGGCAACCTGTTCCAGTGCTCTGTCATACTAAAGAAGTTTTTCCTCATGTTCAGATGGAACTTCCAGTTTGTGTCCCTTGCCTCTCATCCTACAAACCACTGAGAAGAGTCTAGTCCCATCCTCTTGACATCCTCCCTTCATTTTTAGTGGTGGCCAACGAGAAGACAAGACGTAATGGCCACAAACTGCAGCACAGAAAGTTCAGTCTAGACATTAGATACACACAGTGATAAAATCTTCTTGTCTCTAGGTCGAATAGATCCAGTTCTCTCAGCTTCTCTTCAGATCCTCTCCTACTCATCTTCATAGCTCTCCACTGGACTCTCTCCTGTAGTTCCATGTCCCTCTTGTACTGGAGAGACCAGAACTGGACACAGTGCTCCAGATGCAGCCTCACCAGGGCTGAGTAGAGAGGGAGGCAATGCTCCTCCTAATGCATGCCAGGATACCATTGGCTTTCTTGGCCACATGGGCACATTGCTGACTTATGGTTAACTTGTTGCCCACCAGGACACCCAAGTCCTTCTGTAGAGAGTTGATTTCCAGCAGGTCAACCCCCAGCCTGTACTGGCTCCAGTACCTTAAGCATCTTAGGAGACCTTCACTGGACTTGCTCCCATAGCTCTTTCTCTCATACTGCACTTGAATAGGCTGAGATCTTTGGGTCCAATAAACAGTATCAGTATTCTACTTGTGGGAATACTTTCTGTCATGGTGAAACACTATGGGGGAAACAGTAAACCTTCTCCTCCTCCCTCAGGGTGTTACCAAAATTCATAACTAGCCCATATCATATGTAGCAAGTAACAGACCTCTGCCTGAGAACTCAAAAGTTTGATTTTGGGCATTCAAGAGTGAAGAAAGTTCACAAAATGATTCACTTCTTGTGCCTAAGTGACTGGAGCTACTAGAAAGAAATTCTGAAGGCAGCCCTACCTCTCACAGGAGCCAGCGCTTAAGCAGTTGATGTGTTTTTGGCCACCTTGGCAGGAGACAATTATGAGACAAGAGCAAAGAAATGTGGGTAGTACTGCTCTCAGTAGAAAACATGAAACAAAAAATGTTTTTAAATGTTCAATATTTGTGAAGGAAGGTAGAACATTGGGAAAGTGAATTTTGCTGGGGTGTACATCAAAAAATTAAAAGCGGCATTTGACTTCCTGAGAGAGTACAGGCTCACGGCCACAAAATGAAACAAAAAAGGAGCTCAAGAAAGTGTTGGAAGACCCTGCAAGTGAACTCAATAGTAAATATTAAAAAACATGACAGAAAATCCATGACGATTAGGAGACTGAAGCATCTGATCTGAGCAGAGGCTGAGAGAGCTGGGGCTGTTATGCCTACAGAAGAGAAGACTGAGAGGAGATGTTTTCAGTGTTTATAAATAAGTTTAGGGAGGGTGTTAAAAGAATGTGACCAGAGTCTTCAGTGCTGCCCAGCGATAGGAAAAGAGGCAATGGCCACAAACTGAAGCACCAGAAGTTCCACATGAATTTGAGGAAATAAACTTCTTGGCTATGAGGGTAACCAAGCCCCAGAAAAGGTTGCACAGAGAGGCTCTGGAGATCTTCAAAACCCACTTGGATGCGACCCTGTGCCATGTGCTCTAGGTAATCCTGCTTGTGCAAGGCGCGTTGGAGTAGATGATCTCCAAAGGTCCCTTCCAACCTCAATGATTCTATGATTCTGTGAATGAAAAATCCTTCCATATCTTTCTTGTATAATTAAACAGGCATAATTAAACAAATCTAATGATTCCCGCACATATAAAATGTTCATCTCATGGAATTAAGGTCATTCCTGAACACAATGCTGTCTAACATATTTAGGTGACTCTGCTTGTGCAAGCGGGGTTAAACTAGATGATCTCCAAAAGTCCCTTCCAACCTTAATCATTCTGTGAGTCTCTGATCCTTTAAAATAGGTAACAGTGGAAAACCTAATATATCATATATGAACAAAGGTTAGGTAAAGGTTTGAATACAGATAAAAAAGATATTTTGAATAGAATTTACCACTACTATTCTTCTCATATTTAATATATATTAAAACAGTATTCTGCATTTGTTGAGACAAAACTGCATTTTTGATTCTAACTATAGA